TACCGGGTCTCAGCTAAAAAGGCCCAACTCTGCCAGCCAAAAGTGACTTACCTGGGCTATGTTATAAAGAAAGGCAACCGGGCACTGGCACCCAGCCGAGTCCAAGCAGTGCTGCAAATACCCAACCCCACCACAAAATGCCAAGTTTGAGAATTCCTTGGGGCAGTAGGGTACTGCAGGCTATGGATTTTGGGATTTGCTGAGATAGCCAAGCCCCTGTATGCCTGCGCTGGAGGAAATCAGCCCTTGACATGGACAGAGGTGGAGCAACAGGCTTTTGACAAGCTCAAGACTGCCCTGACTGTAGCCCCAGCCTTGGCCTTGCCAGACATCTCTAAACCTTTCCAGTTGTTTGTGCATGAGAAATAGGGAGTCGCTAAGGGGGTGCTCACCCAGACATTGGGACCCTGGTCCCGGCCAGTTGCCTACCTTTCAAAAAAACTTGATCCCGTAGCCTCTGCGTGGCCAGCTTGTCTGAGGTCGGTGGCAGCTACAGCCCTGTTAGTCAGGGAGGCGAACAAACTGACCTTGGGGCAGGAGTTGAACTTAGTGGCACCCCACGCGGTGGAGTTGCTATTCCGTGGAGCTCCGGGAAAATGGATGTCTAATGCCCGCATAATCCAATACCAGGCCTCACTTTTGGACCAGCCCCACATAAAATTTTCAAAAACCACAGTTTTAAACCCCGCCACACTGCTACCTGACAGCGAGCCAGAGGAACCCATACGTGACTGCCAACAGACCATAGATGTCCTCCACGCTGCGCGACCAGATCTCACCGACGTTCCCCTGCGGAACCCAAAGGAGGTACTGTATACAGATGGCAGCAGTTTCATGGTTGACGGAGTCAGGTACGCCGGGGCAGCTGTGGTCACTCTAGAGCGGGTTATCTGGGCCCAGGCCCTTCCACACAGAACCTCAGCCCAAAAGGCTGAACTTATAGCTTTAATAAAGGCCTTGGACTGGGCGGAGGGAAAAATTGTTAACATCTACATGGATAGCTGGTATGCCTTTGCTACGGCCCATGTGCATGGTGCCATTTATAAAGAAAGAGGGTTGCTTACCTCAGAGGAAAAAATCATCAAAAACAAAGAGGAAATCCGAGCTCTACTAGAAGCTATATGGAAGCCTAAGGCAGTGGCATTGATGCACTGCAGAGGACACCAGAAGGGAGATTCACCAGAGGCGAGGGGAAATAGGGCAGGTGACCTACAGGCCAGATCGGCAGCCGTGGGGCCAGTAAAACCTCTGACTCTTCTTGTGACTCTGCTGGCCCCAACCCTGCCTCCTACCCCTACGTACTCACCTGAGGAAGAAAACTTTGCTAAAGAATAGGGGGGACAGCAAGATTCCACATGATGGTGGACTCTACCGGACACAAGGATTGTGCTCCCCGAGGCTCTAAGACGGGCTCTAGTTAAGGACACACACCAGGCCACTCACTTAGGGCAAACAAAATTAACTGAGCTGCTGAGGGTTAGATACTACATTCCACACTTATATAAGATTGTTAGAAAAACTACTACTTGTTGTAATGTATGTGCCAGGGTAAATCCAGGAGGCAGTAGGCCTAGTCAGGCAGGGATAAGACTTAAAGGTATTAGCCCAGGGGAACACTGGGGGTTAGATTTTACTGAAATAAAGCCCCCGGAGTGCGGCTGTAAGTACCTCCTTGTGTTTGTAGACACTTTCTCTGGATGGGTCGAGGCTTTTCCTGCTAGGTCAGAAACCGCACTGGTAGTAGCGAAAAAATTGTTACAGGACCTGGTTCCTCAGTTTGGCTTGCCCCTGACACTGGGATCAGATAATGGCCCTGCATTTACAGCACAGGTTTCCTGGAAACTACACTGTGCCTATCGCCCCCAGAGTTCAGGGCAGGTTGAAAAGATGAACCAGACCATAAAGAAAACTTTAACAAAATTCATTCTAGAGACCGGTGAAAACTGGGTCAGCCTGCTTCCTTTTGTTCTCCTCCGTACCCCATGTACTCCCTATAAAAAAGCTTTACTCCTTTTGAAATTATGTTTGGAAGGCCCCCTCCTTTCCTCCCCAGACTTGCGGTCGCCATACATGCTGGAGTCCATAACCATACACTCCTTAAGTCCTTGCAGGCATCCCAGTCTGTTCAGTCCCAGGTGCACTCGCTCATCAGGGAGACTCAACCTACCCCAGTGGGTTTCACTGACCAGCCAGTACAGCCCTTCCAGCCAGGGGACGAAGTCCTGGTGAAGAGAGTCACTACCTCCGGCCTAACTCCTCGCTGGAAAGGACCCTACACTGTAATCCTGGTCACCCCCAAGGCAATCAAGGTGGACAGACTGATTGATTGCCTGGATTCACCACTCACACGTCAAGACTGCTTCCCACCCCGATGCAGGATGAGAAGCAGTTCCATCCTCAACGGACCCCCTAAAGCTAAGACTATTTCGCCATTCTTGGTCATCATCCTAATCTCCCTGATTCCTGCAACCACCCTCCGAAAGGGACCCTCCTTGGCACACACCTACTATCAATGGGTCATCACCGAGGGTTCCACTGGAGCATATGTTAGTTCCTTAACCGGAAAGGGATCCACCCTAGTCAACCTAACCCTGGAGTACACTCCGGAGACCCCCATTACCTTCTCCCTGGACCTCTATGCCCTGCTGGGCCCCCACTTAAATTTCAGGACAAGTGGAGGTATAGCTGGGTGTGGCAGTTTAGGGGCAGAGCGACAACTCCAGACCATGGGGTTATATCTGTGCCCAGGATCCACCCCACCAAAAAGATGGAACTGTGGAGACTTAAATGAATTCTTTTGCCCCCATTGGGGTTGTGAAACTGTCTCCACTATAACAGGATATACTGCAAACAGAGACTCTTTCATTTCTTTCACCCGAGACCCTCCCTCAAACCCCTGGCTAACATTCCTGCTCACTGGATTAGCAGGACCCTTGGTGCTAATGGTCCTAGGGTTAACATTTGGACCATGCCTTTTAAACATGCTCCTCAAATTTATCCAGGAAGGAATAGACTCCGTCAAACTGATGATTCTGAGATCCAAATATGGGCCCTTGTGTCAAAAAGAGGAAACCTATTAAAGATTTAATACATGTTAAAAGAACAGGGGGGAATGTGATATTGTGCCAGAATTGCTAGCCTTTGCTTACTGGTAATAACTAAAATAAGCAGCCCAGGATAACTAAGATCTGTGTGTAAACAAATGCTTATCTTGACTTCTCTAAACCACTGAAGCAACAAACAGAATGACAAAAGTCCCCTGGCCCTTGGAATGTCAGGAGACCCCCACCCTCCTCTCCGCCCAGGAGGTGAATTACAGAATCCCCTGGCCCTTGGAATGTCTGAAACCTTTTCATCCCCGTCCCCACTCCTCATCCCCACTCCCAAGGTGGTTTTTTGGGTATAAAAAGTCTCTGCACCCTCCTTTTGATGCCACAGGTTGGAGAGACGTGAGTCCTCTGTGGTCGCCGGCATAACAAATGACCCTGCAGCCTGGCATACTTTTGTCTTGGTGCTAAATTTCTATGCTCGGTCCAGTACAACATATATAGTACCAATTTAAAATATACAGAGACTTTTCTGAAACTTTAACTGGCGCCCTGAACTTTCTCTGTGACATACACTAGAACCATCTGTAGCATAGTGTAACCATTTCACATCAAAACCATTATTATTTTTTTTTTTTTGAGACGGAGTTTCGCTCTTGTTACCCAGGCTGGAGTGCAATGGCGCGATCTCGGCTCACCGCAACCTCCGCCTCCCGGGTTCAGGCAATTCTCCTGCCTCAGCCTCCTGAGTCGCTGGGATTACAGGCACACGCCACCATGCCCAGCTAATTTTTTGTATTTTTAGTAGAGACGGGGTTTCACCACGTTGACCAGGATGGTCTCGATCTCTTGACCTCGTGATCCACCCACCTCGGCCTCCCACAGTGCTGGGATTACAGGCTTGAGCCACCGCGCCCAGCCCAAAACCATTTTTCTTGAGAATTGACGAGTAAGATTGATAAATCATTTGAGTTCCTCAGATGAACAAAAATCACCGGGTTTTTTTTTTTTTTTGAGACGGAGTCTTGCTCTGTCACTGGGCTGGAGTGCAGTGGCAGAATCTCAGCTCACTGCAACCTCCACCTCCTGGGTTCAAGTAATTCTTCCACCTCAGCCTCCCGACTAGCTGGGGCCACAGGCGCGTGCCACCACGCCTGGCTAGTTTTTTTGTATTTTTAGTAGAGACGGGGTTTCACCGCGTTGGTCAGGATGGTCTCGATCTCTTGACCTCGCGATCCACCCACCTCGGCCTCCCAAAGTGCTGGGATCACAGGCATGAGCCACCGCACCCAGCCACAAAAATCATCAGTTTTATAACTCTGCAATTTAATATTGAAGTCACTGATAAAAACACATTTTTGTGACATACTGGAGGCTTTCTTGGTAATGATTGACTGCCTAGATTTATAAATTTACTAAAAAATTGTCTCGTCATGGTAGATATACGTTTTGCAACCATTATAACTGAAACGGGAAAGGCGAGACACAAACCTCTCAAACACAGATCTGAGGAAGGAAGTAGCTTTTTATTCCGCCAGGAGCTGTAGGCACAACAGCCTCATTCACGGAGCTCCCCAGGAGCAGCTTCTCTCCCTTTTACAGCCTTACAAAGCTAAAGAGGAAACTGAGGTGGAACTCTGTCATTGTCCATTTGCTGACATCCGACCTTACAATCTTTTGTCTTCATTGATTTGCTAATTCATATGCAGCATGAGTGGGGACTGGCAGGGGAGGGGCTTACAGACACAAAACAAAGGCAGTAAGCTATTTGTTGGCAGAGGTGTTTCCAGGAGGGAGCCTGGGCTGTGCAGACGTTGGGGTGTGACCCAGTCCCGGCCTCCAGCTGGTAGGGATAACATTCACTTGTAACTTTTTCAAGACTTTCAGATAGCAGCGATGCTGGGAACTGAAAAGGGAGTCATCTTCCCAGCTCTTTAGTGTTTTTTGTTTTCCTTCTTCACCCTCCTTCCCATTTGAAGGGGAAGGGAGGGAGGAGGTGGAGATCAGGAAACAGAAGGAGGCGAGGGCATCTCCCCTCTCAGAACCATTACGTAGAATGCAATGATATGCATTATTTACAACCTTTTTTTTTTTATTATTTATTGAGACGGAGTTTCGCTCTTGTTACCCAGGCTGGAGTGCAATGGCGCGATCTCGGCTCACCGCAACCTCCGCCTCCTGGGTTCAGGCAATTCTCCTGCCTCAGCCTCCTTAGTAGCTGGGATTACAGGCACGCGCCACCATGCCCAGCTAATTTTTTGTATTTTTAGTAGAGACGGGGTTTCACCATGTTGACCAGGATGGTCTCGATCTCTTGACCTCGTGATCCACCCGCCTCGGCCTCCCAAAGTGCTGAGATTACAGGCTTGAGCCACCGCGCCCGGCCCTTTACAACCTTTTTAAAGACTACTCTAATTACACGATACATAGTATCAGCATTCTAATGGCACTTTTTCAATGTTTTGTTCCTTTTATGACAAAGAATATTTCAGGGGATTTATTATTTCAAAGATTTCATTATGTGAAGCTCATTCATAATATTCTTCAAATTCTTATTACTAGTTTTTTATTGAATTCTGAGCACTGACAATATGCTTAGAACATTCAGCTTTCCACACATTCATAAGATGTGTGCTTTGTATATGATTTTCATTCAATATTTACATTGCAAGCAATAATCAGTTCCCTGTGAGTTTTGTCAAAATTATCCGGTTTCTAATTAAATTTTATAAATGTGAATTATTGTTTCCTTTGAACTGAATCTTATGCAATACCGGAAGCATTCCCACCTGTTATAATTTTTATATATCAGTTGTTCCAGGCTGTGATTCAGCATTAACATCATTGGTTTCATGATCTTGCTCTGATTCAGAAGACTCATGTTTGTACTATCTAAAAGCAATGTTTAAAATGTATAGAGGCCTGATGCGGTGGCTCATGCCTGTAAACCCAGCATTTTGGGAGGCTGTGATGGGCAGATCACTTGAGTCCAGGAGTTTGGAACCAGCCTGAGCAACATGGTGAAACCTTGTCTCTACCAAAATAATAATAATAATAATAATTAGTTGGGCAGGTGGAATGCACCTGTAGTCCCAGCTACTTGAAAGGCTGAGGTGAGAGGCTCTCATGAGCCCAGGAGGTTGAGGCTGCAATGAGCTGTGATGGACCCACTGCACTATGATGAAGGCAACAAGGTGAAACCCTATCTCCAAAAAAAAAAATACTATTAATATTTTGCTTGTTTTGAGACGGAGTTTCACTCTTGTTGCCAAGGCTGGAGTGTAATGGCGTGATCTCGGCTCACTGCAAACTCCACCTCCCAGGTTCAAGCAATTCTACTGCCTCAGCCTCCGGAGCAGCTGGGATTACAGGTATGCGCCACCACGCCCAGCTAATTTTGTGTTATTAGTAGACACAGGGTTTTGTCATGTTGGTCAGGCTGAGCTTGAACTCCCGGCCTCAGGTGATCCACCCGCCTCGGCCTCCCAAAGTTCTGGGATCACAGGTGTGAGCCACCAAGCCCGGCTCTCCCACATTTTAAAAAATAAATAAAATGGACTGGGCACGGAGGTTCATGTCTGTAATCCCAGCACTTTGGGAGGCCAACGCAGATGGATCACCTGAGGTCAGGAGTTTAAGACCAGCCTGGTCAACATGACAAAACCCGGTTTCTACTAAAAACACAAAAATTGGCTGCGCACGGTGGCTCACACCTGTAATCCCAGCACTTTGAGAGGCCGAGGCAGGTGGACAGGAGTTTGAGACCAGCCTGACCAACATGGTGAAACCCCATCTCTACTAAAATACAAACAATTAGCTGGGCATGGTGGTGCATCCCTGTAGTCCCAGCTACTTGGGAGGCTGAAGCAGGAGAATCGCTTGAACCCGGGAGGCAGAGGTTGCAGTGAGCTGAGATCGTGCCACTGCACTCCAGCCTGGACAACAGGACCGAAACGCTGTCTTAAAAAAAAAAAAAAAAAAACTCTATCTCAAAAATAAATAAACAAATAAAAATACAAAAATTAGCCGGGCATGGTGGCACATGCCTGTAGTCCCAGCTACTCAGGAGGCTGAGGCAGGAGGATCGCTTGAACCCAGGAGGCAGAAGTTGCAGGGAGCCGAGATTGAACCACTGCACTCTAGCCTAGGCAACAAAGTAAGACTCCATCTCAAAAAATAAATAAATAAATGGATAGATAGATAGATAAATACATAAACAAAATGTATTTAAGCTTTGTCACTTCACTCTTACTGTTTACTATTCTAAGTTCTTGAATTTATAGATATCAAAACACTGCACAATTATTATTTCCAGATGAATAACAACACATTAACAATAGAAACAAGGGGCCGGGCGCGGTGGCTCACACCTGTAATCCCAGTACTTTGGGAGGCCGAGGCAGGTGGATCACGAGGTCAAGAGATCAAGACCATCCTGGTCAACATGGTGAAACCCCGTCTCTACTAAAAATACAAAAAATCAGCTGGGCATGGTGGCGCATGCCTGTAATCCCAGCTACTCAGGAGGCTGAGGCAGGAGAATTGCCTGAACCCAGGATGCGGAGGTTGCGGTGAGCCGAGATTGCGCCATTGCAATAAAACCTGGATAACAAGAGTGAAATTCCGTCTCAAAAAAAGAAAAAAAAAATAGAAACAAGGAAAAGCCAAACAAATATACTATTTAGAAGTTACAGCAGTGTTAGGATAATAATTAACTGATGATTTTCCTAAAGCACAAAACAATGAATGTATACTGGTGACATGGCTGCACTGGCAGGTGGTGCCATGAATGTTTCTCAGATGTTGCAGTGCCTGAGGCCATCCACTGGTGCTCACTGTGAGAGTTGAAGACAAACAGTTAATGAGGCATTAGAATTTATAGTGCTTCTTAATTTTACCACCTATCACACTTACCACTCTATTTTCTGTCACAGTCAGTATGGCTGTGCTAGTGCACACTGGCTGGATGCCAGTGTGTGAGACATGCCGTAAAGGGCTGCATGAGCATTCACTACTGTGCTGTGACTTGTAACATTAAGTATTGAGTTGATTGGGCGCAAGGGTCAGGTGGGGCACTTTCAGAAATTACAGTAATAGAGGGCCTCAGGAGGTAGGATTCTTTTTTTTTTTTGGAGACAGGGTCTTACCTTGTCATCTAGGCTGGAATGCAATTGTGGAATCTTCGCTCAATGCAACCTTCACCCCCAAGTTCAAGCAATACCTCAGCCTCCTGAGTAGCTAGGATTACAGGCAACTGCCACCGTGCCCGGCTAATTTTTGTATTTTTAGTAGAGTTTCACCATGTTGGCCAGGCTGGTCTTGAACTCCTGACCTCAAGTGATCCACCCGTCTTGGCCTCCCAAAGTGCTGGGATTACAGGTGTGAGCCACCACACTGGGCCTTTTTTTTTTTTTTTTCTTTTTTTGAGACAGAGTTTCACTCGTGTTACCCAGGCTGGAGTGCAATGGCGCGATCTCGGCTCACCGCAACCTCCGCCTCCTGGGTTCAGGCAATTCTCCTGCCTCAGCCTCCTGAGTAGCTGGGCACCACCATGCCCAGCTAATTTTCTTTTTTTTTTTTTTAAGAGACAGGGTCTCACTCTGTCACCCAGGCTGGAGTACACTGACATGATCATGGCTCACTGCAGCCTAGAACCCCAGACTCAGGTGATTCTCACACCTCAGCCCCCAGTACTGGGACTACAGGCAAGTGCCACCACACCCAGCTAATTTTTAATTTTTTTATAGAAATGAGGTCTCACTATGTTGCCCAGGCTGGTCTCGAACTCCCGGCTTTTAGCAATCTGTCTATCTCAGCCTCCCAAAGTGCTGAGGTTACAGGCATGAGCCACTGTGCCCAGCCAGTAGGTAGGATTCCTGCTCCTAATGCATAGTTCTTGTGGAATTGGGGGACAAAGGTAGTAGTCTATCTTTTCCTGATTCCCTTCAGTTAAATGAACAGAGATAAGTAATTGAGTTTGAATGAAAAAGAGAAATTGTGTCCACTTTGGTAGTTATGCTGCATATTGGTGGTGTTGGTACTGCTGTTGATAGTTAGGCTCAGTACTGACAAGGCTACCTACCACCTGCAGCTCGCTGTTACAAAGTGCTTAGTGCAAGGAAGGGGTTTACCAGCACTCTCTGGGCTGGTTATTTCATACTCTGAAGACAGGATGTGAGTGGATTTGTTTTCGTTATCTAAATCAGCTGTCCAATAAAAACAGAATGTAAGTCACGTGTGTAATTTAAATGTTTCCTGTAGTCACATTAATAAATTAAAAGGGAAAATAATTTAATAATATATTTTATTTAACCCAGTATAGCTAATATATTACCATTGCCACATTTATTCAATATTTAAAAATATGTTAGATTTTTTACTTTTTTATACTGAATCTTTGAAACTTGAAGTGCTTTTTATATTCAGTTCCTCCCTTGCTCTAGCCAAATTAGTCTCACTTTTCTCACCTTAAAATGGGAGAGAAATTGAACCTACTCACAGGATTGCTGTGAGGACGGAGACCTGTAAACATCTATTCCTCGCTCACTGGGTATCAGACGCTACACGAAATGCTTTGTGTGCACTTAATCCTCACGTTCTTCCCGTGAAGTAGGAACAGCTATTGCCCCACTCGACAGGTGAGCAAACTGATGGCTAGAAAAGGTTAAGGAATTTCCTCAAGGGCACACAATTACTAAGAAGCTAAGCTGGGATTTGGACCCAGACAGCCTGACTCCAAAGTTAGACATTTTATCCACTCTGCTAGAAAAGCAAAGGAAATATGCAGTCTATTTAGGAAAGAATGCATGAGTTTGTTCACAAAGCATAACAGTTGGTGTGGGTAACCAATGAAGACTGCTTGATATATCCATTAAGCACAAATTCATGTGAGTACACATAAGAGCATAGCCACCAGGTTCCACAACAAAGTGCATGTGTGTGTGTTGGCATGCATGTGCGTGTGTGTGTGTGTGTGTGTGTGCATGTGTGCACATGGGTGTGTATGTGTGCGGGTGTGGAGAAAACCTGATCAATAATGTCCACCCCACTCTCCAGGACCTCTTCCAATCAGGGTCCCAGGAGCAGATGGTGGGCAAAGGGCAGGAAGAATCGGTCCCTCAAGCTGCAGACAAGAGCCATAAAATTGCCAAAAGGCAGTGTTTGAGGTGAAACTAAACTTACAAGGTAAAGAGGAGAGACTGGGAGAGGGCTGCGAGAGGAAAACCAGGTGCGAGCTTGTCATGCAAAGCAGGTCCCTTGGGGTCATCACCTGTGGTTCACCAGGGCTCAGGATAAAAGCCAGAATATCACATGCTATGGATTAAGAAACAGGCTTTTGAAAGAACTTTCAATTCAGTGTCAGTAAGCAAAGAGAAGGCATGAGTTCCATTCCTTCTATTTTTCCATAGAAGAGCAAACTGGGCACGCTACTGGACATGCAGGCGGAGGGGAGGTACGTGGTGGTGTGTTATTCCTCTCCACTGTAAG